CGGTATTTATATAAAACGAACGATATGATATGGTTGTTTATAGTTGAAATGTATCCTGTCCGATATTCAAAACAAAGGATTTATTTTATAACGGGATCCTTTGATTTCCCAACTGAAGTACTGAACATCGCCAACTGTGTATATAAAAACAATAGTGCTATTTTGACTGTGAATTACAGTAAGCACAGGATTAAAACCCGTTATTCCTTTTATTTACATTGCTGAAACAGCTCAACGATCAAGAATGATATATGTTGAAGTACAGCTACAGTATACTGTTATCACACGCCAAGACTCCTCGGTGCGTGCGGTACAACTTGAATATCTAGGACGATATATGCACTAGACTAAATTATATCATATATTGCAGTAAACATTATAAATCTTATAAAGACCTTTCATTGGCATTGGTATTAATGTCCAGGCATTATTTGAAGAATAATCCAACTTAAAATCCAGCTTCTTTCGACTTGTATAATGCCGCTGTGAGTCATCAATATTTAAATCAACTTTAAGTCTTTAATCTTTATCGTATATACCCCTATACTGTGTCGTAACTGTAATTGAAATTTTAGAAGTTTCACCAAACGATACTTCGTAACTGTAAGCAAACAACTATCTATCAGTATCAATAGAAACTTTAAAAGGCTTAATAAAACTCATTAAGTAATTCTATGAGCGAGACTTGGTGCGCATATACAGTTTATGAATTATGTATATATAAATATATATCCCTGATAAAACGTATAGGGACACTTCGTACCAGATATAATAAAAAATACTTTGCTAAATCTTTTCGGATATCATTCCTTTGCATTCAGGGTGGGAGGGTGAATGGCGATAGCTATAATTTATTATAGGAGATTCTGTGCAATATTTTGGCTCAACAAACAGGTAGTCGTGAAGACAAAAAAGTGCACTGTCGAGTGTCGATTCCAAACAATTTTGTCAGTCGCTTTTGATACCTCTATTTTACAAAATTTATACTGTTTCCTTTCTATATGACAACAATTCAATGGCATATTATAAGAATATTGTAAATATCTGAACCAGAGGCAGAGCCAGGACATAAACGTACGTATGAAATGAAAATATTGCGCCCGAACCCCGAGAGAATATTAAAAACGCAAATATTTCAAACCATACGGTCATACGTTTTCGTTGCTTGATTTGCTGACTTGTCTGTTAGTACAAGAATCTGCATTTTACCATGTTAGTATAATTTAAAACGGCAAACAGAAACCAATTTAGCAAGAATTTTGAAGAATATATGATTCTCAAAGATTATTGTACAGCACGGCCACTCCTTGCAATCGAAGTGTGAAGTGCGGAAGTGGAAACATGTAATATGAGACCTTTCCATCCCCCTCTGAGGCTATCAATTTTCTATGGGTCACGTGACCAGCGTCCACCAGGGTCTTTGCTTCCCAAGAGCAAATACCCTGGGAACGAGGTTGAAAGTCAGATTGTGACCTGTTTATTAAAAAATGTCCTGGTAATATTGAAATTCGAGAAGTTGCTCAAATTATTGGGAAAATAGTGTCAAGTTTTCCGGGGGTCCTGCACGGACCTCTTTACTATCGACATTTAGAAAGGGACAAAACCTCAGCTTTAGCTAGGAATAAAGGTAATTTTGATGCTAGAATGACCCTCTCTAAAGAAAGTATATTAGAGTTAAAATGGTGGTCAAACAAAGTAATAGATGCATTTAAACCCATTTCACATGGGGAACCTTCACTAGTTATTACAACAGATGCTTCCCTGCAAGGTTGGGGTGCTGAGTGTCAGACTATAGCCACTGGTGGATTGTGGTCACATTTTGAGGCAAACGAACACATAAACTATTTAGAATTATTAGCTACCTTTTTGGGCTTGAAAACGTTTGCAAAAACAAGACGTAACCTACATATAAGGCTAATGATAGACAATACGTCTGCAGTCGGCATTATTAACAACATGGGTACAAGCCATTCTCCTAAATGTAATATTTTAGCCCATCAGGTCTGGAGTTGGTGTATTGAGAGGCAAATATGGATAAGTGCTGCCCATATACCAGGGCGAGATAATTTTATCGCGGATTTTAAATCAAGAAGAAATGAAAAGGCATCGGAATGGATGCTAGATAAACTACGTTTAGCCAAAGCATTAAAAGACTTAGATTACTCACCAAGTATTGACCTATTTGCCTCAAGAATTAATAAACAATTTGATACATATGTTTCATACAGACCAGACCCACAGGCATCAGCAGTAGATGCATTTACTCTAACATGGAGCTCACTCATGTTTTATGCTTTTCCTCCTTTCAGTCTTATTGGGACTGTTTTAAGCAAGATCAAGGAAGACAAATCAAGGGGGGTGGTTGTGCTACCAAGTTGGCCAACACAACCTTGGTATGCGAAAGCCCTTTCCATGGGGGAAAAACCACCCATACATTTACAAGCGTCAAAAGACCTTTTAATACTTCCCAGCCATCCAAACGAGACACACCCATTGTTCAAAAAACTGTCAATGATGATTTGCCTCTTATCCGGGAAAGTTTAGAGCTCCAAAATCTGTCAAAGTCCACGAAAGAAATTATAATGGCTTCTTGGCGTAAAGGCACTCAGAAACAATCGGGCATTGATACAGATAAATTCACGTGTCACAGCACTCGGGCTGCATCAACGTCGTGTGTCAAAGCAGTAGGACTTAATTTTAAAACAAATAATGCAATCTGCTGGCTGGTCCAATTCCTCTACCTTTGCAAAGTTCTATGATAAACATATTGAAACTGAAAATTTTGGTTCAACAATTCTCAACACAGCAGATGTTGAAACAGTAACAACAGTTTAAGTAGTTATAATGTAGTTGGGTTACTAAAACAAATACATTTTTGTTTATCCATTCATGTGTTGGAGTGGGTTCTTCACGCAGGACTTTGAAATCTCATGTGACTCCGTAGTGACGTGACTGATGACGTAGTAGAATTCTAAAATTAAACGAGACTTACCTGTAAGTTGAAGTTTGATTGGGATTCTACTAGTCATCAGTCAGGAACGAAGGAGTCACATGCCCAGGTACTCGGTACCATGCCCTTCCCTCCCGTGACTCTTCGTTCCTCATTCCTGCAACCGTTCACGTTAAAAACTGATCAGCGAAGCACGCACGCGCTTCTCATGTGACTCCTTCGTTCCTGACTGATGACTAAAGTAGAATCCCAATCAAACTTCAACTTACAGGTAAGTCTCGTTTAATTTTAGAATTATCCCATCATGTGTTGCCATGTTTATTTATTTATCCAGCAAACAGCTCAGGCGGCGCAGCAAAATTCTGTCTATTATTGTATTATTGAGAGGCAGAGCATAAAATATACATTTTACTCCTTTGTGAGCTTTAAAAATTTTGTCTGATGAGGAATGTTAATCCTCATAAACCATTTAAGTACAAAATATTTTATGGATACATATGAATAAGACAGCATCTTTATTAATATACTTATTCAATTTACTTGTTTTTTATATATACATAATTTACTCTTTGCGAGCTTTGAAATTTTGTCTGATGAGGAATGTTATACCTCGTTAACCATTTAAATACAAAATATTTTATAGTACTGTATGTAATTTAATAAAATCTAATAATCTCTTATCTAATAAAATCTTCATACTTACTAATTTGCTTCATAATTTTCTCTGTTTTTGGAGATCTTTTACACTCACAATACTCCTCGATCGTGACAAATCATATAATAATTATAAAAGTAAGTATATTAATATACTATTCCTTACAAAAGAACGATGTAACTTGGTTTGAATTTTACTACTAATAACATTACTAGAAAATACATGCATGCAGAAACCCTCGCCTTGCTGACAAAACCATTGTATTTTCCGAACATGAAGTATCTAAGTAGTTGTCATGGTAACACGATAAGTTTTAAAGAATATTCTTGCAAATGAAAAATCGCCTAAAAATATCACTTTTAATTACAAAATTATCAATTTCCCAACACATATATGTTAGGTATGTTATTATTATCAGTTACAGACCTGAAACGAGGGGTATTCCACAAAAAATGACCCTGAGGGATGAAATATTCCGAGGGCGAAGCCCGAGGAATATTTCATCCCGCAGGGTAATTTTTTGTGGAATACCCCGAGTGAAAGGTCTATAAATGGTATATTATACCGAACCTTTCAAAAATAAGTAGAAAACAAATACCATTCAATTAACTTTTAATTTCAAAACACAACTTAAAATAAAATAAATAAAAAGGTCGAATTTCCCGCTCAAGCGTGGTATTCGAAGTCGAATACCATGGCCCCGGGTAAAACACCCAGGGTTCAAATTGCCTAGGTCATAGTATTCGCTGAAAAATACCATGGTCATGTGGTACAAATTTAGTTCTCTGATTGGACAAGCTCATTGTGAGGTATAATATTACGTAATATAAGCTTCAATTTAAAGTAAAATTCAACCACAAACGCTTCGTAAAAAGTTTTATAAAAGTGTCCTTTATTCTGCCTTTAAATATTAAATGGCTTTATCGATAAACTTTGAGTTTGCAATCAAATTATTTCAAATTCTCACATGCAAATAACTTATAATAAATATTAACTTGTGGCGAATTCTGAAAAGTTTAGAAAATTTTCAACTTTTTCTCCATATGAAAATACAGAATGTTTGGCCAAGCGGTGAGTAAATATACGATTGTTTCAGTTTGTGTATTTGTTTTGATGGCATTAGACCCCCCGATGAAAAGCTTATTTTGCTAGGAATTCAATGGTGCTCTTTGTTTTTAAGGGGGGTGAATACGTGCTGAAATATTTACGTTATAAAACAGTTGAATCAAAATGTTGCTTGCCGTGAAAAATGTCGCATGTCGAGAAAGAGTTAAGGGTCTTTTCACGGAATGGAGCACGAGGAAGTGGTATACGCGCGTACAATTGGAATCGCTGATAGGCAAACTCCATCATGCTTGCCTCATTGTTTGGCCCGGTCATACATTTCTCCGTCGGATGATTAATTTGCTGTGCACGTTTCGGACCCATGATCATCCAATCCGACTTAATGTCGAATTCCGTTTAGATCTCCAGTGGTGGATCGAGTTTCTAGACGATTGGAACGGGACAAGTTTCATCCTGCTCCCAGGTCTCATGCCCGTGGCGGACTTATGTGTTACATCCGATGCTGCTGGCGCTATCGGGTACGGTGCATTATATCACCAACAATGGTTCAGCCATAAATGGATGCCCGCTCAAATGCCAATGTCAATTGCCCACAAAGAGTTCTTTCCAGTCGTTATTGCCGCTCATCTCTGGGGTGATCAGTGGGCCAACCGACAGGTTTGCTTCCGTTTGGACAACTCTTCCGTGGTCCACATGCGCGCACCTCCCGGGATCCCCACATTATGGGTTTAGTACGTTCGCTCCTTAGTGTAGCTGCCCGGTTTAACTTCACTTTCCAAGCCCAGCACATCCCTGGTCTAGCTAACCTGTGGCTGACGCACTGTCTCGTTTTCGTTGGCAGGTGTTCCGACAACTAGCTCCGGACTCCTCAGCAACGCCCACGCCTATTCCAGAAGAGATCCTACAGTGGCTGGCTCCCACTAATTAGAGGCCCAGTGCCAACTTTACCTACAACAGGGTTTAGCATCGTCAACCCAAAGGACCTATTCGTCAGCCCAATGCGCCTTTCTTACGTTTTTGTGAAGGAGCTAACCTAATGAACTCGCATGGTTCTCCTTTGCCTGCTGACGAATGGACCCTTTGCCTGTTTGCGACATGACTGGCCGACGATTTAAAAGCAGCGTCGATTAAAGTGTATTTGTCTGCCGTTGGAGCTCTTCACACAGAACAGGGTCTTCCAGATCCGTCGAGTGGTTGCTTACATCTACAGCGAGTTTTAAAGGGCATTAAACGCTGCCAAGGTTCTTCCTCTCACAAGAGACTCCCAGTCACCCCAGCAATCCTCCGTGCTATCTACAGTCATCTCGATCTCTCACAGTATGATGACGTTATGTTTTGGGCGGCCTGCTGTCTAGCCTATTTCGGATTCTTACGTTTATCTGAATTTACTGTCCCGAATGGTGCCACGTTCTCGCAAGCCTTACATCTCTCCGTCCACGACATCGCTGCTGGCCAACGGGCGGCTCCTTCTAGGTTCCAAGTGAACATTAAAGTGTCCAAAACTGATCCTTTCTGTCAAGGTTGTATCCTCACGTTGGGACAAGGCCGCTCCCCTTTGTGCCCGGTGGAAGCGATGCTGAATTTTCTGGAACTACGGGGCGGCTCGGCTGGTCCATTGTTCGTTAGGTCAAATGGTGTTCCTTTGACTAGGACCTATTTATCGGAACGGTTACGTCGGTTGCTAAGCGAGACGGGAATTCCTGGCAATTTTAGCAGTCACAGTTTTCGCATTGGTGCTGCAACGTCCGCCGCTTTGGCAGGTGTTCCCGATCACCTGATCCAAACGTTACGACGGTGGTCCAGCTCCGCGTACTTGACATACATTCGGACACCACGTAGCTTGTTATCCAATTTAACGAAAAGTTTATGTTAAAAAATAATATATATTTTATTCCTGTTGCAGTCAGTTGCATGTATTTCTGGTAATTTAGTACAGATATAATTTCACGTCTCGGAGCGTGTGTAGTGGGTGCCATAGTTTGTGGTCAGTTCTTGGAGATAAGTGCACATGACAATTTGCCATGGCAATTCCTCTTCAAGTTCATATTGGAACTACATGGTCGTTTTATTCATACTGGAGCTATGAATGTTGTTTAATTCATACTGGAGCTATGAATGTTGTTGAATTCATACTGGAGCTATGAATATTGTTGAATTCATACTGGAGACGTTCGAGTGAGTATGGTATCCAATACAAATTCATGATTTGTGATGGAGACAGCAAAGCTTATAGTAGCATTTGGGACATGTATGGATGCTGTGATCTATGTGAAAAATGGGAAAATATGGACAAGCGTTCGAAAGAGTACAAAGAAATGGGTGGAGAGTGACGATTATCGCAAGTGGAGGGAAAATCACGATAGTGGTGAAGTTGAGTGTGACAGAGCAATGAAACTAGACTGCATTGGTCATGTCCAGAAGAGAATGGATACTCATTTGAGGGATCTAAGAAAAAGAGAAAAAAAACTGAAAGATGGAAAGTCAGTCAAGGGCAGTAAGCAATTGACAAGTTGACGACTTATTATGGCAATGCAATAAGAGGAACTGTGAGGCCTTACAGCAGAGCAACAGAAGTCCCAAATAGCTGTGATGCAACAAGCAATCATGGCTGTGCTATACCATTCCTGTGAACTGATCGATCCAAACGAGAGACATAAATTTTGTCCAGATGGTAACGACAGCTGGTGCCCTTATAAGTGGCAGGGCACACTTGAAAGAAAAGATCACCATTTGGATCCTGTGTTCTTAGATCTGTTGCTCCCACAATTCAAGCGCCTTAGTGAGTATTCATTGTTGCTTCGTTGTCTGCCAGGATACTCTCAAAATGTCAATGAGAGCTTGAATAGCCTTGTATGGAATAGAGCTCCAAAACATCGATTCAAAGGCCCCAAATCTGTTGAGATGGCTGCAATGTCAGCAGTATTGCAATTCAAGGAAGCAGCTGGCATTCCTGCTGGAGTATTTACATCTCAAGGTAGTGCCAAAAAGGACAAAACAAGGATTTTTCATTCTGCCAAGAAGGCGGCAACGTGTGAGAAGGTTAGAAGAAGGAAGATCAGGCAAGCTAAATTGGCAGCAAACATGAGAGATGAAGGTGAGTGCTCTTACAGCAGTGGGAAGTTTAACAAAGTTGATCCTCTGGCTCAAGTGGGGTCAGAAAGCTCGGATGATGAAGACGATTATCCTCTTGCTCAATTAGTACTGAACAAAGATTCGGACACTTCTGATGAAGATGTACCACCAGCTCAAATCATCAGGAATAGCAGCAAGAATAGCTAAAATGAGCATAGGGTATGATATCTTAGCAGTACAATCAGTTTTCATGTCATTATGTCAGTAACACTAAAAAGAGAACAATTAAAGATACTTCACTAACTTTGATGGACGATTTCTCAAAAAGTATGCTTTTCATAGTGGCCGTCACATAAAACCTAATAACTTGAGAACTAATTGACCGATTTGGTTCATTTTTTCAGATATTGTTTGTGGATGTGTGTTTTACAATATGATGATTGCATTTTTACTTATGTTACAACCTAGCATATTTAGCTATTGAGCTCTTTAGTACAATTGTTAGATATCTATAGATATTAGTGTAAGTTATGCAGGATTGATAGCTTTTCACTAGATAGCATGAATAGCCGGGGTACCATAAAATGCATGTTATCATGTTTCAAAGCTTTTTTTCAAATACATATAGTCATCAGCAATTTCTAAGTATGTTATTTGTTTTAAGCATCTCATAAGCTTTAAAATGGTATATGGCATGTTGAATTTACACTAATCAACTAGGTATAAGACCAATATTACGAGATGCATTCAAAAACCAAGAATTTCAGGTGTGCGGCCCCCTTAAAGAAAGAAGGGAAACTTGATGATAGAACTTACAATAGGCTACACTCGACTGACGGCTTACCACCTACAATTTGCGGCTCTGTGAAACACCACAAAGAAGGCTACCCTCTGCGGCCTATTATCAATGGCATTGGTTCAGCTCTTTACAACACCTCAAAATACCTCACAACTATACTCTCTCCTATCCAGAACAACTCTGTTAAAAACTCCACCAAGTTCGCGCGATAAATTAAAAACATAAAGATTGATGATGATGAGTCATGGTATCCTTTGATGTTGTTTCACTATTTACAGCTATTCCCATCCCGAAAACCTGTCAATACATACAGACTAAATTCGAACAGGACGTTACTTTGACATCACACACTAATCTTACAATTGACGACATTATTTCACTTTTAGACTTTACGCTTTCTAACAACTATTTCATCTATAACAACATAACTTACAAACAAATTCATGGCTGTGCCATGGGTACCCCGGTCAGCCCAGTTGTGGTCAACCTCTGCATGGAAGTGATTGAAAATACAGCCATTCACACAACTCTTACAAAACCTAAAACATGGAAACGTTTTGTTGACGACAGTTTCTCGATCATTAAAAAGACTGCTATTTCGACATTTCACAATACTTTGAACAACATTGACCCTAACATCTCTTTCACTATTGAACTTGAACAGGACAATCTCATTTCTAGATGCACTTATAACACGACATGGTAACAACCTGGAAGTTGACGTATACAGGAAACCAACGCACACAGATAGATATCTTGACTTCAACACTCACCACAACATTAAACACAAAATTAGCACAGCTAGACCCCTTCTACATAGGTCACAAACTTTACCAACCAAACACACAAGCAAACAAGACGAACTCAATCACATAACAACAACTCTAAAATGTAATGGATATCCCGATAAAATTATTAAACAAATGCTAAAAGATTTGACTGCTAACAAACGTGAACCATCACCTGAGGGACTTGTGGGCCAATTTTTCAAACGTGTTACTCAAGATGACAAACCATATGGACATGTGACTCTACCATACATTAGTGGAATAACTGATGCACTCCGACGTATATTACAAAAACAGAACATTAGGGTAACGACTAGACCTTTAAAAACTTTACAAAGAATCTTTCCTACCCCTAAACATCAAGTTCCACCTGAACAACGTATCAACGTCGTATATAATATACCTTGCTCTGACTGCTCGTGGTCATATGTTGGCGAAACTGGAAGATCATTTGGAACCCGAAAGAAGGAACATATTCGAAATGTAAAAAACTCTAAAAAAGGCTCAAACATAGCTAAACATGCATGGGATATGGACCATATAATTGAATTTGATAATGGGAAAGTAATAGATCGTGGCAATTATCGGACACGTAAGACATTAGAATCTTGGCATACTGCTATAATAAGTTTAATAACAAATTCTGACAATAATTCTAAGTCGCTTCCGAAACAATATGCTATGCTAGTTAATAAAAAATGTCATCGCTAGACGCTTCAATTAACACACATATCTTGCCCTTCCTGTTATATATATATATATATCACCTAACACATGCACGCTTGTAATTTAATGATAATTCATTTCGCTTTACCCGTCGAAGACTACAGTTAGGTAGTCGAAAGCTCGTTTTTAAATAAAAATTTTAGTCAGAGAACGTTTATGTTTTTAATGAATATTGTCATTGAGAAAATCTTTGAGATTCTACGCAATGTATAAATTGATGTTATGCATTACCGGTATTCAGTGGACCTATTCCCTAATCTGAACAAAATGTTGATCTAGACATTAGGGCCTGTTCATATGAGCTCGGTTAACCGCGAGCTGGCCCGCTTTGCCGAGCTGGCCAGCTTTGCTTTCACATGAGGCGGGCTAGCCCGGCAATCATATCTATTCATAGTAACGATTTCCCGAGATATTTCAGCGAGAAAATAAAATTCGTGATTAATTGGCAAAATTTTATTTTTGCCGACGGCAACAGCTTTAGGAGGTTTAATTTCGATAAATTTCTATAGTTTTGGACATTTTAGACTGTTTATCAGTAGAATAAAGCACGCAAATTTCCAGCCCGGCTTGCCGGGCTAGCCCGCTTGTGCATTTATATGAGCCCGGCAAGCCGGGATCTCGCCTCGCTCAAGCGAGATCCCAGCAAACCGGGCTGGTCCGATGGATGGCCGGCTACACAGCCTACACTCAGTACAAAGAGCGAAAAATTGCATCAGTTCAATATAAAAGCGTAAACAACTATTATTATAAGCGGGTGTTTGTATCATTGTATGGCGTTTTATACGAAGAAAATAGCTTGCGAGACTAAAGAAATTAGTTGAGTCAGAGCTCTTTATTTAAATTAAACAAAAAAGACGAAGAGATAGCCAAAGTGTTATCGGCAATCGCTTGGCTCGCCAACAAGCTTTATGCAATAGAAGAAAAGGCAAGGAGGTAGCCAACGAGAACGTGTCGTCACGGACCCTGTTTACTGTCTAGCACAACGGTGCAAACTCGCGTTCAGTGCAACGAGAACTCTACCAGATCATACGAGAATCAATCTGTACACAGAGCTGTATCAAAGCTTGTCAAAACTGCTATAAACACTGCTATAACTGGGAAACTATTGAAATCTAAAGTGACATTATTGAAGCATGCGAAACGCTGAAAATGACACAACGTGACACTTGCAATAAGTCGAAGGTCAATGAGATTTGTGACCTGAAGTTCAGGCCCTAATCACAGAATAGGGCCTGACACAACACCTATCTAAACTGTGGGATTCTCTGGTGGACGGGAAATCTGATTGGTTGATCAGCATCATGAAGGATTTTGATTGGTTGCAAGTTCACATAAACAGCAGTTTTAAAAATAGCTCGGTCAACGGCTCAAGGCGAGAATTAATATAAAGGTCAAACGCACGTAACAAATTCCATTATCGATTTCTTCGAATTTCTTTTCTTTTAAGCTTTAAGGCAGAAAATAAATCAAACAAACAGTATTTTGGGCTTCATCAAAATCTTTGACGAATTTTGGACACACACGACGCTGAAAGAACAGCCAAACTAGTCATGTATTCGAAAGCTTGTTGTTGACAGTCAAGACGTTCTGCCAACTGGCAGTAGCCGGCAAAAGTCTTATTTTTATTATCAGGTCCCACCGGCGTTGTTTTCTGAGCTACATCGCCTTCTTCGTGGTACGATTGAGAATTTAATTGTTGCTGTTGTTAGCCCGTTAGTCGTTAGAGTATATCCTCGTCCAGCAAGTTGAGACCTTGAGAAAGCTTGGCAGTCAAGCCGTGCACAGAACTGACCGAATTAAATCTTTGTTTGCTGTTCGGTTAAATAGAGAAACTGACTCTTAATTATATAAAAAGTACCTTGAATTTTTAAGTTTAATTGAAAAGCAAAATGCACACTCTGCGGGCATGTTCATGAGAATATAAATTTTTTGTGTAACGAAATCTACAACACTTGTCACTCATATTTCATGTGTGTCTAAAAATAACATGTGGAGTGTGCGTCCCACGGTCTATAGGCAGGTTTTGTGTCAGGCCCTATTTCAAATTAGGGCCTGAACTTCAGGTTATGAGATTTGTTGTTGTTGAAACATGTCACAATTAGGTTAAAATGCGGAAGCGGATGGAGCGGATCCACGGAACGGATATGTGGATAAAATACGGAACGAATGGGGATAAAATACGTCCTTTTAATGATGCAACTTAGTAGTGCTTATTATTCATAACATACATATAATCTTGTACAGCTATTTCAATTAAAGTTGCCACTGAGACAATAGTCAAATGTGCAATATGGGCGCTAAAAGGATCATAGGAATATTCATAGTTTTAAATAAGTTTAGCATAACAGCAGCCTCGTGGGGATGCTTTTAGCGACAGCTCCCAAAGCAAATGTAGTTTTATAATATGCAAAATTTGGTTATTGGTGAAACAATTTAAATTTCGAGTTGTCGCGTGTAGCATCACAATAAATAAATAAATTGTATCAGTTCCACGAAGCACGACGTTTTTGATGTGTTAGGCTTCTTTCAAACGTCTCGCTACTCATGTGCCGAACGCAAGAAAAACAATAGATAATGAGATGAAATGCCTTTGGTCACTGTTTATTTCCGGTAGTGTAAGCCATCAGCTTTTCTAGGTTGTCGGCGACCCCACATAGTTCTTGCAGTGTCTTTCTCAATTTGAAACTTCACACTATCCTTGGATCCCTAGTTATATTTATGCAATGTTATGTTCAATTTGTATAGGGGAAAACTTTGCATTTAAGAAACCTGCACAACAATCAAAAACCACAAACGGAGGCGTTGCTTCAAGAGCTGTAGATGGAAACAAAAACCGCTACTACAGCAGTGGTTCGTGTACCCACACAGATGAAGAAACAACACCTTGGTGGCGA